GAAATAAAGTTATCACTGTTTGCAGATTATGACTGTATAAGTAGAAAATGTAGAGCAGATCTATAGACACATCCTTAGAATTAAGTTTTGTAAGGTTTCTGGATACAAGGTAAATTTAGAAAAATGGTTTTATTTATGTATAACAAGAAAAAGTTCAAGTGCTTCCACTTTTATATTGAGTAACCTTGAGCAAATTTTCTAACCCCTCTTCTTTCAGTTTCTTCTATAAAATAGGAATGATAATACTGTATCTTAGTGATTCTAGGGCACATTTTTTTCCATTTTTTAACATCTTTGAAATTATGATATAAGTCTTAACAATGATGTCTTAGATTTGATGAAATATGGTATCATATACCTCATAATGTGGTTTTGAAGGTTAGATTAGTAAATACAGCAAATTTAAAATATTTACAACAGTGCCTGGCACTTAACAAATGTTCAATAAATGTTAGATATAATTATGATTTTCTTCCACTACGTTTTTTAATGAGTTATTGTTCGCATAAAGAAAGCTTCTGTTTTTTTAATAGATTCTTTTTGTAGAACTAGCTTACAAAAGTTTTATTATTTCTAGTATCTTTTTAGTTGATTCCCTTGGATTTCACAAGAATATATACATATTAATTTAATTTGAATATTTTATATCTCATTGTATTCTTTTCAAGTTTCATTTTTTTCCTGTACTCTAAGAACAATGATAATTACAATAATAATAGCATGATAACAATAATAATGATAATAATGAAAGCCAGCACTAAGTAGAACTTACTGTATACCAAGTATGCTTCTAAGTATTTTAAGTATGGACTCACTTGCCTTTTTTCTGTGTACTAGAGTAGTTAAATTATAGCACATTAACTCATTGGAATAGTATATATCCATTGACAGTATTTATTTTACAGGGTATATGACATTGATAATTGCATATTATATATCTTTAAATGATAAAAGTATAATTGTGTGTATAATATGAATGTAGATGCGTAAAATTTATGCATCTGTAAAAAAGGACAAGAAGAAACATGGAAAATAATTTGTTAGGAAGAAATTCTATATTTTTTGCTTCTAAATTTTCCTTATTTGTGCTAAAATTACATAGTAATCTTTTAAAAATATGTTAATGGTTTATAATCTAAAGATAGTTTTTACTTCCATGTTAAAGGTAGAGGGAAACTTCTCAATCTGTTGCAAATACAGAATTTTTGTGAGAAAACAGAAGAATATTTTTTTCAGTATGATGCTTTAATTGTTATATTTGTCCTTTTCAATATATTAAAAATGGGATGAGGAATCAAAGTAAGTCCTTGGAAGCAGTAAAGTAGTTGTGGACAGAATAGAAAAAAAAATGTCTCAAGAAGAAATAATGATTAATGCAGTACCCCCCAAAAGTAGGTCAGTCTCAAATATTAGAAATCAGCTAATATTTAATAATGCTAATATTAAATAATCATAGTAATATTTAACAATATCAATTAGAAAATGGCTAGTTTAATCATAGAAAATGTTTAAATTGTTATTTGAGTGATAGTATTTTCACAATGAATATTAGTATGTTGGGTGCCACATTATATCAAGAAATCTATCCTTATTAAGCAAATGCTATCTAGTTTGATACTTTGCAGCTACATATTTGACAGTCTCTGTTGATTGTCTTATATGTGTGTGTGAGTTTATGGGTGGTTGATCCAAGTCAACCATATAAAAAACATTTTCTTCTCAAAAACAGCTCTTTTTTCTAATAATTTACTAAAGACAAAAGATTAAAGTCACTTCAAAAATAATATTCTTCGCTGTTTTAAAAGTAATTTCCCTGGATTAGGTCCAAAGGTAGTTCAAGTTCAGTTTGAAATAAAATAGGAACTGATATCTGCCTATATTTTTGCACATTCTTTAACTGTGACATAATACATAAATAATTTCGCACCTTTTTTGTAACCAAATAAAATTCAGAACAGAATTATATACTCCAGTAATATCCTTCTTACTTTATTTATAATTTAGACCATGGTCCACATGTAGGAAAATATTATACAATGTATTATTTCATATACTATTTAATTCTTTTCGTCAATTCAGTTTCTATCACTTGGTCATTTATTTGCCTAAATAAGTGAACATCTGAGAGAATATAAATTCTTTAGGAATCTAGCATGTTTTTAACTTCCTTTTAAGCCTCTTCTGAATTATGTTTCCTAAAAGAATGGGGGGTAGTAATTGAGTCTCCTGAGAACTTTCAAACATACAGCTTTCACTTAACTGGAGACTTTTTTCCCTTATTCGGGTCAAGTATTTATGTGTATTTTGAATTTCTGGTTTAGACTTTTGACCCAACCTTAATTATAAGTGAAGGTTCAGTTCCATTGCATATAATGGGGCTTTCAGCCTGGAACAAATATTTTTCTAAAGAAAGAGAGCAATTTTTAATGAGTTTAGGATTGGCAATTTACATATCCTCTTTGAGCTTAGTGTATATGCTTACAATTCTGCTTTCCAGTTGGCTTCTCTTTATCATCAGTAGTAATCATAAACCTCTAAAAAAGAAAGCTATCTAATAAGAAAAAGTGGACTTGATGTTTCAAACTTATCTTAATAGATTACTTCAGGTTTAATTACAAGTTGTTTAACCCATCTTAAACACAGCTAACTGTTATTAAACAGGAAAAGTAATGAATGCCTTATCCAGAAAAAACCTAGGTTAATTAGTTTACTCCCGTTACTATTAATTGAACGGCTTCCTATATGCAGAGCTTTTTGCCTCTCCTCATTTTTTTTCTTAGTAAAATCACATTTTTCAGATGAGAAACAAATGTTGTTAGGGATTTTTTAAAATATCGCATTTCCTAATTTTAGAAATAGGTTACATGGGCATTGCTTTGGCATATTTTTACAGTTTTCCTACTAGACTAGATTGTAAACTTGATGAGAGGGGAGATCATTTCTTGCCTATTGACTGCTCACATAACAGTACGTATAACATCGTGGAGCCTAGCATTTATTAGGCACTCAATAAATATTTATTAAGTTGAAGTGAATTAGCCAACTTTTTAAATCTGTCAGAGGATGAGTGATCGATTTAAAGTAGTCCAGGGCCTTACCTATTCATTGCTACTATAGATACAGTAGTTGTTGGAACATGAGGCAGTATATAATAGAGAGTGAGGCAGCAAAATATCTAGAAAGACATCATGTACTTTTGTGTGGTGGGCATAGAAGTAGCATTATCCCATGTCAGTTTGTGTGCATGTACAAATAAAAGTTAGGGTGATTATTCACAGAAAAAAAAGTGAGCACATTGGAGATAACTCATTGGCAAGTACTGAATCTTAAGGTCAAAATCCTTCTGTAGTGCTTAATGGAGACTTTAAATTAAATAATAATGGATACTTAAGAATTTTACTTGATAATAATTCATATGAAAACAAGATTCAATTAATTACCAAATGTATTTTAAAAATTAAGACACATACACAGATTGGGTATGGATTTTGCTTTGTCCATTTATTGTACTATTTGTTAAGATATCTTACATTTTGTTGTATTTCATCAAATTTTGATGGGAACATTGACAAGATAATTGATGATATTAAAGAATTATTTTTTTAGGTGTGATAATTGTATAGTGGTTATATTTAGAAAGAAAAAAATAGTTCTGTATGTTTACTTACTGAAATACATACAGATGAGATGTTATGATATCTGGGATTTTCTTCAGTATTATCCAGTGAGGATAAGAAGTGAGTGAAAGTATGGGTGAATAAGATTAGCCTTGAGTAGATAAATGTTAAAGCTGGCTGGCAGGAATACTGGACTGAGATGCCCTCTCATCTGACTGTATCTGAAGGAAGGAAATCAGATAACCCACGGAATTACTGAAACTCCTTTTAAAATTATTGAAAAAAGCAGACCAGATGAGCATGAATAATTTGACTTTTCTAAAGTTTATTGGTTAGTTTTACAGAAAAACATTCAGCATTTTTTCTCAGGTTCATATTATGAAAACCCACATAATGAGAACACTGTGTTTTAATATGAAAACTCAGTTTTTAAAACCACTTGGAAACAACTTTTAAAAACTGGGAGAAAATGTACTTTATTTTCTATTGTGAAATACAAATTTACCTTCAAGATATATTTTATGTATGTCTCCCTATTTTAAACCAAACTAGAAATTCAATGCATAGTTTGTTGGGATTAGTTGATGAAAGTTGTTCTTTAACGTAACCTTAGTTCTCATCTTTAAAAAAAAAAAGATGTTTCTTTTCGAGCTGCAATTATAGAATCTCAAAAAAGTATTCTTCTGTGTTCTACTTTTAAATTCAAAATTAGGAAACCTGAAGAAGCCTATTTGATGCCCATTAGATACCTATAGTAATTTAGATCCATTGTGCCAATATGCAATAACAAATTTATCCCAGATTGAACATAAATTTAGTTTCCTAAAGGTATGCTCAGTGCTTTATTTGTATTACTGTGTCCTACTTTAGACTATGGTATTAGTTTATATCTTTATTTATTTAATTGAACTTATATAGTAATTGTGCTAACATATGACTTTCTAATGCTGGCCTGCCACTGCATGATCAACCTTTTTTCCTACTGGAATTTAAAATTTTTTAAATGTTTTTAATTGATGCTTTTTTACTTTATCCCTTTTGCCTTTAATAGCTTCATGATGTTTTTCCCTTTTCTTTGAGCAACTCACAACCTAACTCTGTGCTATTGTATTATAATGCTTTTGCTCCTTTGCATGATTGTAATGCACCAGTCATTTGTGTGATTGTAATCTATTATTCCACATTGGTCATTGACCACATTGTGTCACCAATATCTACTATTTCCCATTTTCAGATATTGCGTTTTCCTATCAATGGATAAATGTCTTGCTTTTCCTTTTTTCTTGAGTAAATGTAAGTTGCATTTATCTATCCAATTTCATCTTTTTTTTTTAGCTTCTTCATTTATCATTTCTTATTCTGCTCACTAATCTTTATTCTTAGCATTTGACATCCTCAGACAGGCTGTTTATGGGTAACTGCTCATGTGAGGTGAACTGTAATGAGGATAACATCCTTGCTCTCAAAGAGGAAGAAGACCAAAATGAAACTCCACCTCTCATCTGGAAATCATTGACTCCCCTTCTACAAAATAGTGAGTTTATGTTTTACTCAGTCTTTTTTCTCCTTTATTGCTTTGTAGTATAATTGTATATGAAAGCACACATAATTACAAACTTACTGTTAATGACTTTTTACCTCCTAACTTTTGTAGATTATTAGCAATACATAATAATAATAACCTGTAATGTTACGGAGCAGTTATTATGAGATGGACACTTTTCTGAGGGCTTCATATGTATCATATAATTTAATCCTAAAGTACTAATTACTAAATATATAACTATTATCATTGTCCACATTTTGTACAGCTGGTTAGTTGCAGAGAGACAATTCAAACATAGGCATCTGACCCCAAGGCCTGAGCAATTTTAAGTACTATGATATATGGCCTTTAAAAAAAAAAAAAGTACAATTAAGACAATGTGTTTGTTCATGATGCTAAAGCAGCTAGTTGAAAAATGTGGAGTTAATCCAAACCAGATTGTTCTTTACTGAGATAAAAAAGAATAAAACTGATCAAATTATATTATTTTCCATTTAAATAATTTTGTAGTATAGAAACAATGTGAAAATTAGTTGTCATAATACCTATTTAGGTGATACTTTCTCTTTCTGTCTTTTAGCATCAGTGGCTTCTTTTTCTTTAAACTTCAAATTTATCCTTTTGCCTAGTTTAAACATGAATTTCTTCTGAAAGCACACACACACACACCAAAAAAAAAAAAAAAGGCAATTGTATTGGTTATACAAACACATAAATCATTTTTATAAATTAGATTGTTTTCAGATTTTTAAAATTAGGAATAATAATGTATATTAGAATGTAAAAACTTTAGATTTATGAAGAGTCTTACTAATCTCCATCTTGTGAGCTGATTCACAGTAATGCAGTGATAACTTTTGTAGGTGACCTGGCATCTGAGGCACAGGTTTTTGGTGCCCTTGTCACATGCTGTAGAGCACTGCCAAATAGTTTTGGGCACACTAACAATGTTCTACCAAAACTTGGGATGTGCATTTCTCCATTCTTCTGCCTCAGGGCTTCCTCTGAAACCAAGGGAGCTTACTCAGCCCTTGTGCCAAGGAAGCCTGGAAGAGTGAGGGAGATATTGGCACTTGCAGCAGCGTTCAACTAATGGGGGACAGGATATTGTGAATAAGTACACCAGCCTGATATCCTTCAGATGAGCAATCTGAGCCACCCTCTACAGAGCTCCTCAGAGAATTCCCAGTAGAATTGATCCTTGGTTGCTCAGATCATTAACCCACTCAGTAGCATTGTTGCCTTTTCCTCTCCTGTCTTGCTCTCCATGCCTTCTCAGTCAGCTTTTTGTGATTTACCTCCCAAATAAGTTACCTACATCCAAGTTCTTATTTTAGACTCTCTTTTAGGACAGTCTAAACTAAGACAGGAATTTAGAATTGAATGTACAGATAACTTATAAAACCCAGTGTTCTTTTTAATCCTACATTTTAACTTCAATTTTTTAATGGTACTCTTTAAAAATCTTTTTAACCTTATGCACAAGTTACATGGTAGCATAATTTATCTCTTTCAGGGATGATATATTTATGTATACCTGAAATGTATTAATACATTTCAGAGCTTCAACTATATTTAAAAGTTAAAAACTTTTGAAATCATTTGAGAAACATTTGTTACTATATGTTTACCTCCTCTAACTATGCATAATTCACTTGTTAAAACCCAGTGATAAGGGAAGGAATGTGTTTCTTTAACTTGACATTTTATTCTGCAGGATGTTATTTTCCTCCCAGGAGTTCTGTTTTATGGAACTATATTAGGAAAGTGTTGATTTGACATCTGTCATTATAGGTTTCATTTACTGTTTTTTTTTTCTTTCTTTCTTATTCTTTCTTTTTTTTCTTTTTCAGGTCAAAAATCAATGAGCTCAGGCAAATCTCCAAGTGGTTACCAGTGGATTAACGGCATCATAGCCACCTTTCTCTCATTCAGTGAAGAAAGTGTTATAATTGCAGCAGCTCAAGCCTTTTCTTCTCTACAAGGTGCTAATTTAGTTAGTACTTAGTGAGTAAGGAAACTGCTTTTAAAATTCAGAAAAACAATTAACAGGTTTATTTATTTATTTTAATTCTAAGCCTTCCGCAAACCAGAATCTATGAATATCTGGTATTAAGTGATCTTTAGTGATGAAAATCAACTGTCTAGTGATAATGTATTTATTTGGAAATTCATAAACATCAAGGTGATAGGGAAAAAAAGTAAAACCTGTGTGTTTGAATTATCTCTGAAATGTATTCTAAAGCTTTATGCAAATAACCATGGCTTCTTTCTGTAGTCATGTATCTTAGATTAACGTGTGCATGTATGCTGGGTGTGTTGTCTGCTTCCTAAAGTGCTTTTGTTAACATCATAATTTTAAATTAAGCTTTTCAGAAGGCTGTTCCTACTGTACATTTTGGCATCTAAGATTAGGTCAGTGGCCATAAATCTCATTTACGTACTTAATGCAAAGGAGATACTGCTGTCTTGGGAATCATGTGAGCCAGATTCCTTACTTTGCCCTCTTGTAAGATACTGACATATAAAACAAAATGCTCCCATTTTGTTTTGCATCTTTCTTTATTTAAAACTTTAAATAAACAATGTTTATGCAAGATTCTTTTTCATTCATAAAAATGGAAATCACTCTTAGTGACTGCATGAGTAGGCTTGTATTCTTGTTCACGACTTCGCATGATAGATCACCCCATAAAATCTTTACATTTGGCTTGTGCAGCTGAATTCATGACTGAATACAGAATGATAAAGAAGCTTTAGCATTTTGTGGAAAGAAAAGAAATCATGCCTTCTAGATGGCCCTTAAGCTAGCTTTCAACTGCCTGGAAATCAGATAGAAATGTATAATCAAACTTGCCTTAAAGGCACAATGTTTAGTGTAAATCTTTAGGTCATAATCTGTAAATTAATGCAAAGAGATTCTTTAAAATTTATTTGGTTTTCATTATATTTGCATGGAAATCTGCCAGTCCAAACGTATATTTATCTTTGTTTTTTTTAACCTTTCTATCTATCAGAAGTTAAAATAGAAATGATGGATTATGTCACTGGCCAGTCCAGCAGCCTATTTCTTTCAACACATTGCTATGTACTTACTGTTTTAGCTATATTGTTTTCAATTTCTGGCAAAATAGTCAGTTTTTGATCCTGGGTAGAAAATGTCAGTGCTCACATTTCCTATGGGGTTTTGGCCTTTTTGTGAAAAGGTAGGGGGAGAGCTAAATGAATTATGATGCTGTCATCTGAAGAAACCACAGTGTAATTATTTGCCAAATTTTAGCAAGAACAGAGCTGATCATCTGCTAGTGTAAGCCTTTCCTCGAACCCTACCAGCAGTTCACTCAGGCTTCTGCCTGTTCTCTTTCATGCTGTGAGATTGTAGCCTACCGAAGTCCTTTTAACCTTCCCTTTGCAAGGTTAATTGATTTAATAACCCCCAAAGAAGACAAATTTTGCCAGAGGAGTTTAGAAATCTAAATTTAGGAATTTAAAATTTCACAGCTGAGCTTAAGTAATATTAAAATTAAGACTGAGTTGCTTCTTAACATAAATAGTTTATGGAGAATGCATGTGTCTTATATTAATTTTTTTGAAAGCTGACACTCTTCTCATCCTTCACAAATCTATTTCCCTAGATTTTAAAGAATGGCAAATATTACCAGATAACATATGTGTGTTATACTCTTTGAAATCAACACATTCTGAATGTGAGTATAGCTAATGTATATTGTAATCATCTGATAGTATAGTTTGCCATGCTTAAGTGCTCCTCAAAACCATTAATTTATACATTCTGATATCTTTTACTGACTCCTAAGGATGTATCCTTGCTTGGACTAATGGAATTTAGCTCCTACCCATTTGGAACAATTCATAGGAAAAAAATCTCAACATTAAAGATTGTTATCTATGAGGATTCTTCAATTTCATTTTTTAGCAATCATTTTGTAGCACTAGTTTCAGATGATTTTTTTAATTGTTCATTTACAATGTTGTGTTAATTACTGCTGTACAGCAAAGTAATTCAGTTATACATACTGAATTACATGGTCTTTTTTTTTAATACATTCTTTTCCATTATGGCTTATCATAGGATATTGTATATAGTTCTCTCTGCTATACAGTAGAACCTAGCTGTTTATCCATTCTATGTATAAATGCTTACATCTGCTAACCCCAGCCTTCTACTCCATCCCTCCCCCAAAGTCCTCCCCCTTGGCAACCACCAGTCAGTTCTCTATGTCCATGATTCTGTTTCATAGATAGATAGATTCATTTGTGTCATATTTTAGATTCCACATATAAGTGATATCATATGGTATTTGTCTTTCGCTTTCTGACTTAACTTCACTTAGTATGATAATCTCTAGTTGCATCCACGTTGCTACAAATGGCATTATTTTGTTCCTTTTTATGGCTGAGTAGTATTCCATTGTATATATATACCACATCTTCTTTATACATTCAGCTGTCAGTGGACATTTAGGTTGTTTCCATGTCTTGGCTATTGTGAATAGTGTTGCTATGAACATAGGGGTGCATGTATCTTTTTTAATTATAGTTTTGTCTGGATATATGCCCAGGAGTGGGATTGTTGGATCATATGGTAATTGTATTTTTAGTTTCCTGAGGAACCTCCATACTGTTTTTCACAGTGGCTGGACCAACCTACATTCCCACCAACAGTGTAGGAGGGTTCCCTTTCCTCCACAGCCTCTCCAGCATTTGTTATTTGTAGACTTTTTAATGGTGGCCATTCTGACCCGTGTGAGGTGGTACCTCATTGTAATTTTGATTTGCATTTCTCTAATAATTAGTGATGTTAAACATCTTTTCGTGTGCCTATTGTCCACCTGTATGTCTTCTTTGGAGAAATGTCTATTTAGGTCTTCTCCCCATTTTTTGGTTGGATTTTTTGTTTTTTTGTTGTTGAGTTGTATGAGCTGTTTCTATATTTTAGAAATTAAGCCCTTATTGCTCACATCATTTGCAAATATTTTCTCCCATTCTGTAGGTTGTCTTTTTCTTTTGTTTATGGTTACTTTGCTGTGCAAAAGCTTGCAAGTTTGATTAGGTCCCATTTGTTTATTTTTGTTGTTATTTCTATTGCCTTGGGAGACTGACCTAAGAAAACATTGGTATGATTTATGTCAGAGAATGTTTTGCCTATGAGCTCTTTTAGGAGTTTTATGGGGTCATGTCTTATGTTTAAGTCTTTGAGCTATTTTTAGTTTATTTTTGTGTATGGTGTGAGGGCATGTTCTAACTTCATTGATTTACATGTGGCTGTTCAACTTTCCCAACACCACTTGCTGAAGAGACTGTCTTTTTCCCATTGTATATTCTTGCCTCTTTTGTTGAAGATTAACTGACCATAATCGTGTGGGTGTATTTCTGGGCTCTCTATCCTGTTCCATTGATCCATATATCTTGTTTTTGTGCCAGTGCCACACTGTTTTGATTACTTAGCTTTGTAATATTGTCTGAAGTCTGGGAGGGTTATGCCTCCTGCTTTGTTCTTTTTCTTCAGGATTGCTTTGGCAATTCTGGGTCTTCTGTGGTTCCATATGAATTTTAGGATTATTTGTTCTAGTTCTGTGAAAAACGTCATGGGTAATTTGATAGGGATCACATTAAATCTGTAGATTGCTTTGGGTAGTATGTCCAGCAAATGACTTTTTATTTGATTTATCTTTCTTGATAAATAATTTTAAGTCTTTGTTTCCTCTTATCACCTTTTTATTTTATCTTTTCTTCTTTTGTCCAGCCCAACTCTAGGATTCCTTCTTTCCATAACATGTATTCAGCAAACACTTTTTAGTGCCTATTCTGTGCCAAGTACCATGCTACATTCTGGGTTTACTACAGAGAATGAAATAGGTTTATATTCTGCACTCACAGAATTTAGAGTCTAGTGGAAATAATACCCATAATTATGCAAAAAAGATAGGGGAGAGAAAGAGAGGAATACGCTTAACCTAGATTTTTTTTTTCCAGCTGAATGCTTTTCCTCTAAAATCAGGAACAAGACGAGGATGCCCACTCTTACCATTTATATTAAAAAATTAAAAATAAAATTACCATATGATCCAGCAATATTCACTCCTAGGTATATATCTGAAGGAAACAAAAACACAAATTTGAAAACACTGAACCCCAGTGTTCATAGCATTATTTACAATAGCCAAGACAAGATATGGGAGCAACCTAAGTGTTCATGAACAGATGAATGCATAGAGAGAATGTGAGATATATATACATATATATGTAATATATATACACAATGAAATATTACTCAAACATAAAAAAGAATGCAATTTTGCCATTTACAACAACGGGGATGGACCTGGAAGGTATTATGTTTAGTGAAATAAGTCAAACACAGAAAGGCAAAATTCTGTGTTTTTACTTATATGTGGAATCCAAAAAACAAAACAAAAGAATGAATATAACAAAACAGAAATAGACTCACAGTACAGAGAACAAACTAGTCATTACCAGTGGGAGGAAAGATTGGACTGGAACAAGATAGAGGAAGGGGATTAAGACACAGAAACTACTAGATGTAAAATAAATAAGATACAAGGGTGTAATGTACAACACAGGGAATATAGCCAATATTTTATAACAACTTTATATGGTATATAATCTATAAAAATATTGAATCACTATGTTTGTATACCTGAAACTAATATAATATTATCACTCAACTATACTTCAATTAAAAAATTAAAAATATTAGTTTGGGATGAATTGTAAAAAGAACAGGTCTAAACATCAGCTTAGGGAACTGGAAGCTTAACCTGAAGAATTTTTACATAACCCAGTGCAAAATCACAAAGGGATGAAAAAGTATAGGAGTTTGTTACATTTGGTACCCTTTATTTCTCTTTTTGGGGTCTACAGTTTCCTCAACTTCATGTGATTGCATGTATATGTTTAGTCTTTGGGAGATAGGACACAGGAAATGTTTGAAGTCATAAAG